CGATTAAAGGCACTGGTTTGTGGCTTATCGGCAGTCGAAACACACGATCCTCATCACACGGCCCGCGCGTCCTGTTCACCCATGCCCGCGTCCTCCGTGCCCCTTGCCTGCACGCGATAGGCGTCCGCTGCGTGCGTACTGCTGCCACGTGTTTCGCCAACGTCCTCGCCTTCCGCCCGTGTGTCCGTGCGCTGGTCATCTTCACCCGTCGGGCGCGTACTTCCCTCCAGTGCGCGCATTTCTGCTGTCACTCGTGCTTGCCTCTTGCGCGCATGGTAGGCCCGACTGGCAGCGTTCTTGAGCTGCCTAGCCACTTCCGCATCATTTCCGTCCCCTTCAAGTGCTTCCTTGTCCTCAAGGATGAAATTCGGGAATTGATCACGCATCTCGTCAAGATCCTCCCATGTGGCTTCCTCGGATGGCAACTCTTCCCAGTCAACTAGTACTTCCCAACGATAGCGTCCTACTCTCTTTACCTTACGGTACTCAATCGCTCGTTTGGTCGTACTATGACCCTACCATCGGTTGCGGTTGCAGGTAACTCCTCACAATACTTCTGCGCTTCTCCTAGACTCCTCTTGAGTTGTGAGACGTGGATAACTGGGTGAATTTGTGAACCTTCCAGCAACTCTAGACGGTAAGCTACCTGACCAATGCGCTTTAGAATCTGATAAGGCCCATAATAACGAACGCCCAGTTTAGTTGCGGCTCTTTGTGCCGTGGTGCGCTGTCTGAATGGTCGTAGCTTCAGGTAGACATACTCGCCTGGTGCAAAACTTTCCTCACGCCTTTTCTCATCTGCGAAGGCTTTGGTTCGATTAATTGAGCCTTCGAGATTTTTCTTCAATTCTCGTAACATTAGATCTCGTTCTTCTAGCTCTCGACCAACTTCATCGTTAACTCTACTCCCCTCCGAATAATTGATCAGTGTTTGGGGTTTTCGCCCGTATACCAATTCAAACGGCGTCATCTTGGTCGACTCGTGGTAAGTGGTGTTGTACCAATACTCAGCCCAAGGCAAAAAGTTTCCCACCGCTTCGGGAATTGATGGACGTAGCACCTCAAATACTGCTCAAGGGTCCGGTTGGTTACCTCAGTTTGTCCGTCTGTCTGTGGGTGGTAGGCTGAGCTCATAGATAACTTAGTTCCTTGCAACTTGAAGAATTCAGACCAAAAGCTGCTCATAAAAATCCGGTCTCGATCAGAGATGATGGATCGAGGTGCTCCATGCAGTTTCATCACGTACTCTACAAATAACCTGGCAATTGACTTCGCGGTGTAAGGATGGGTAATGAGTATGAAGTGAGCATACTTTGTGAGACAATCTACTACAACCATAACACCGTCAAATCCATTGGAACTTGGTAACCCCTCTATGAAATC